TATATATATATATATAATTAAAAGAGATAAAACAACAAGTAAGATATATGTAGTCTAAATAATTTAGAGAAAAGAGAAAAAATCTTGATGTTTTTATATTAAATAATATAAGCTCATAATATCATATCTTTTGTTATAGTTATTTGTTTAAGGTATTTCTTGCCTTGTTGGAAAGCTTGAGAATAGATCTAACATGAAAATCAAATTCATCTTCATCTTGATAAAAATTAATCATGTAGCAGATGATTTTTCAAAAACATGTTCAGGTTTCGCTTTATTTTTTTCTCAAACAAAAGTCTCCTATATATGTACCCTTTCCTTCCCTTATATAAGAAACAAACCTCATACCTTTAAACACACAAAAGTTTCCACTAATTGGGTGTTCAAGAATTAGGACCAGTGTTGGACTAATAATTTTTGTAAGAGCTTAATGAAAAACATTAGGTGTATAATTCTTTTTAGGCTTCCATAAAAAGCATGGGTCGTCACGTAAATAAAGACACTCTTTAGAAGAAGCATGTGAGATATGTTATGAAAAATTGTCATCTTGAGGTTAGTTTTCTTTTTGTCTTATCTTTTTTTTTTTTTTTTTTTTTTTTTTTTTTATATAAATATATTTTTTATTTAATTCTTTTTTAAATTATTAGAAATGTTTTCATTCAATATTTAATTTTTATTTTTCTTTTAAATTTATAATAATGTCATTTATTAAAAATTAGATAAATAAAATTATCAAAGTGAAAAAGAAAGTTAAATAGATGTAACATCTTTTAACTTTGCAAAATTTTTAGAATAAAAGTTGTGACAGTTTTGTATACTCGAATTTTCTTTTTAATTAATATTTTATAATCCTTCTATAATAAAATAATAATTAAAATATTCAAATAAATTAACTTGAGTATATACTTCTATCATTCTGTCAATTTTACAACTTAGAATGCATGAATTGACCGTTCATGAATTCTAAGACTTAAAAAACATATTTTTTAATCAAAAGAATTACATATTTCTGTTTCTCCTCCGTTACACTTGAGATTATATGAGCAAGATATCGCTTTTGTCAAGATAAAAAATAATAATATTATTAATACTCCTTTTTCACAGTAATAATAATAAAATTTAGTTTACAATAAAATAAAATAACCACTCTTATTAATAATAGTAAATTTTTATCATAATTAATTTTAATTTCTTGGTAAAGATAATATTTGAAAAATATTATAAAAAATTTATTTAATTAATTAAAAATAATTATCATAGAATGGATATTATAGAATATTAATATCTTTCATACTTGCGATTCACTCTCCAATTCAAAAATTTGATTGTCATTTTCTTTTAAAGGATTTTTTAACGTTCTCTTACATAAACGTTAGTAGTGACTTTTATTTTAACTTATTTTTCATTGTCCTGCTGTGACTTAAGTTACTAAACAAATATAATTATAATTTCCATTTTTAGACAAAATATTTAAATATTGTTAATTCCTTAATTAATAGGCATCAATAAATACTCTTTTTTCAACCACTAATGTTTGTATTATTGTTTTATTTTTATCTCGTTTTATCTATTTTCTTCTTGTTGTAAAAGATAATATAAAGAGTAATATAATTTATTTTAATTAAAAAAAATTAATGCATAATTAACAGAGATTTTTGTGAAAAAAAATATAATTAATATAAAAATCAATTATATTATAGTTTCATAAAGACATCTAGTAGAATGCGAAACTAATAATTAAATTTTGTAATTTCATGCTTGAATTTAAAAAATAATATTTAATTTTTCTTACACATAAATACGTATATTTTCAAATTAAAGTTATCCCCTGCCCTTTTTATTGAAGAACCGGCTCCGTCCGAGTCTATATGGATCTATTTTATCACAAAATCATATTGAAGTTAAAATGAATTGCAATAATTACATTATAAAAGGTAGCTTAATATCATTTTTAACATGAAAATATCTAAAATTGCTCTTTAGTATTGTTATAAAATGTTTTTTTATTGACTACATATAATGATTTGAATAAAAAGTACATTAACAATTCACCCAACTTCATAACATTCATCTCTCGCATGAATATACATTGTGAGAGAGAAACACAAATATTAAATGAACACATTCTAATTTGAAAGAATTTTTCGAAAATAGACAAAAAAATGTTTGTTTAGAAGAATTTGTCAGAAACAAATTGAAATAAACGCATTATATCACCATATTACCATATGCCTAAAGACATGTAAGAAAGTATTTTGTAAATTTTCTTAAAAATTTATTAATACAAATTTTATTGCATTTAGTTATTTTTTTGTAGTTTCTTATCTTTGTCACCGATTACTATTAATAAATTTCATGTTTATGTTTAATTTGTTACATATGTGCTATTTTTTAAGTTTAAACATTATATTCATATCAAGAAAAAAATCATGTTTATGTATGCATGTTTGAAAAGGGAAGGAACCTTAATGTTTGGCTGAAGATGGTTAAGCCATCTTTCCCGACACTGCTTCCCAATTCTGCTACTTAATGACTTTGCAATTTGCGACCATTTCTTCGGCCCGAATTGATTCACCAATTCCATAAGTGCACTACAAAAATCATAATTTCAGGTTAAACAAATTGTTATCATTTTTTCAGCATAAAAGGTCTTATAATGAAACAATCAAAGAAAACTTCTCAATACACTAAAAAAATGCAAATTACATAGAATTAAAAAAAATACTATAAGAAAAATTAAAATCAGTGTAAAAATTTATCAAATAACTTTATAAAAATTGTCACTAATTTTTTAAATTCCATAATTAAAGATAGAAAAGTGGTTTTCATTACTTAAGTTGGTCGCTAATTATTTTTTGTAGTGAAAAAACAATGGAAAGTGAGAGAATAGGAAATTGTGTTCATGAATGAGTGCCACACATATATACCTATCCTCTTCTGGAGTCCACTGCCCTTTGATTATGTTATTATTGTTGGTATCTTTTTTACCCTTTACATTTTTCTTCCTTTGATCAGTGTCCCAATGATAATCACTCATCACCAATTCATACTCATTAAAAAGAGGTGATGGTGAATTGGATGAAGAACCTTCAAATGGATGAACCATGGTTTTTTGTGAAAAATCCCAAATGACTTTCCCTTTGTGATGATTGTCATGGAAAACATCTTTATTGTTATGGTTTGGTGGTAGCATCGCAGGGAGCTGACTATGAATGTTAGCAAAACTTCCTCTTAGTAAAGACCCATCACTCAAAGAAAGGCTTGGCATCTTCCCATACAAGGGAATTGGGATGTTGGTGGAAGAAGGACCTTCCTTCATTGAGGCAATGCTGTGGGAAGACATAGTCATAGTTTGTTCTTGAAAATGGTGAAAAGTATTATGGGGTTGGAATAAGATTGGCAGTGGTGATGGTGGGATAAGAATGGAATTTTGGGAGGGATATGTGGTTTGAGGTTGTGGCTTAAAGCAAGGGTTTTGAAGTTGTTGTGACCCTTGGAAACATGGATCAAACTCCATGTTGAAAAGCTCACAACAATTGAGTTATAAAAAAAAATATGATGAAAGAGAGAAATTGTTGTATACGATTTAAGAAATTTGGAGTTCTTATAGTTATAAGCTATGGTGGAACCTTGAAAAATAAGAAATAAAATGGAGAAAAATGTGAAAATAAATAACTCTTGATACATAACTATTTTTATTAAATATAGTTTACAAATTTAAAAAAAAACTCGAGAATTGATATATAAAATTGACTAACATCAAAATCTTTTTTCTTACTTTTATTATCATTCTGGAAAAATTCGCTTATTTAAAAAAGTATAATATATTTACTTTTGTTCCACATAAAAAGTATCACATTTTATAGAAAGTTAGAAGACTTTTTAATAAATATACAAACCAAATATAATAAAAACATATAGTGTTTCATCATTGTTTTCATATCATTGTTTTCATACCAATATAACTAATAAAATATATACTAACAAAAGGACTTTGAAGGACATCATAATCAAATCCAAATTTTATGTTTTTAAAAAGAAAGGCAAGTGAGTTTTAAGCTAAGATTATAATGACTAACATAAAATTATTTTATTCTTCAGTTCATTGTCATTGTCAAATTCTCATATATGGTAAAAGCATAATACATTTACTTTTGATACTTTTGATTGTGAAAAAGTATCACATTCTACGAAGTGTTAGAAGACTTTTTTAAAAGGAAATGAACAAACTATAAAGTTTCATCATTGTTTTTGTAACGGTGTAACTAACCAAGTATATACCATGAAAAGAACATTGAATGACATCATAACCAATTCCGTGTTTTATGTTTTAAAAATAGACGCAAGTGAATTTTGAGTGAAGTCTGTAATCATGTCTTTTATCTCTTTTAGCATTGTGTTATTGAAAATTAAAATTAATTAAAGGTTGTAATAGCCTTGAATTTTTTTTTTTATAAATTTTAAAAAGAAAAGCTTGAGATTAATATGTATAGTTGGCTAACATCAATTTTTTTTTTCACTTTATCTATGTCCTTCTCAAATTCTTTGATTTGAAAAAGTATAATATATTTGCTTTTGATACTTTCAATAAAGAAAAAGTATCACATTTTATGGAAAGTTAGAAGACTTTTTATAAAAGAACCAAACAGAATATGGTTAAAAAGATATAAAGTTTCATCATTGTTTTCGTATCATGTAAACAACCAAAGTATAGGCCAACAGAAGGACAATGAGTCACATTATTGTAGACATCCAATTTCATGGGGGGCACACAAACAAAGAAATGGACCTCCATTACGAAGGGAAGGGGCTTCCGAAGTAGGCAAACAACAAGACAAGACATCAGAAGGCCTAAAGGCCAAATAAGGTGGTTTCAGTAGCCCGGAACGGGCCGTTCCAAAATCGGAACGGGCCGTTCTGAACCCCGGAACGGGCCGTTCCAATATAAGAACGGGCCGTTCCAACGTAACTGAAATCAACTAAATATTTTGGGTGGAACAGGCCATTCCAATACCAGAACGGGCCGTTCCAAACAAGGCAAATCTCAAACGGGCCGTTCTGAAAAAGAAAAATTTGTGTTACTTTCTACTCTGGAACGGGCCGTTCCGTTTTCAGAACGGGCCTTTCCATTTTCAGAACGGGCCTTTCCAAGGTACAAAATTTACACATAATAATTGGGCCAGAACGGGCCGTTCCGAAACCGGAACAGGTCGTTCTAGCCCACTGCTGATCCCTATAAATTGAAGTCTTAGGCACAGTTCACCTGGCGGCCAGAGAAATTTCGAATAAGACTCCTTTGAGCACGAAAATTCTCTATCTCTCTCCCTTCTATTATATTTTTTGAGATTTGTGTCGCATCTCTATATTCTCTCTCCCTCCTATTGTATTTCTTGAGATTTGTGAGGCATACTGTAGTGTGAAAGGTCGCCACAAAGCACCTTTTTCATATTTGAAGATTCAATAAAGCTTGTTCAAGAGGTATTTCAGCTAATCTTCTTCTCTTCCTTTTATTTCTTATCTTTATCTTCTTTTTTTGTTATAATAAACATCATAATGTAGATATTTTAGGGTTAATCGCTTAATTTATATTTTAAGCATGATTTATATTTTAAGCATGTAAATAAATATTAATAAAGGGGATTCAATATTTAATTTATTAATTTTTATAATGTTAACTTCATCATAGGGTACCAATTGAGGGTGCTGTAGGGGTGCTTAATACCTTCCTTACACGTAATCGACCCCCGAACCCAATTCTGGTTATCAAGGCCATAGTTGGATCTTTAAAAAACCTTTTCTTTTTCCAATGTTTTGAGTAAAATATTGGTGGCGACTCCATGAACCTATTTTCAAAAACCATTAATTAAGGATTAGTCTGGTGTCCGGGCATTCCTTAATTAATGAGACTTTTAAAAGGATGTCTAAACCATACGTCGGGAGATCGAAAATTTTCGGGTTGCGACAATTATAATCAATTCTAAATTTTATGTTTTCAAAAGAGATCCAACTATGTGAATTTTGAGACATGTTTGTAACCATATATTTAGTATCTTTTAGTATCAAGTTATTGAATATTAAAACTAATTAAAGGTTGTATTAAAGCCATGAAAATTTTGTTTATAAATTTTGAAATTAAGGACTAGAGAATTAACATATATAATTAGCTAACATCAAATTATTTTATTTTCACTTGATTGTCTTTCTCGTCAAGTTATTTTATGTTAAAATGTAACACTCTTACTACCCCAATTAATATATTGTAATAATGTAAATAAATTAAGGAAGTAAAATTTTCAACATAGATAAAAGGGTTCACATAAAAACCTTTAGAAACATTCTTCAATATCCAAAATATTTTAAAAATGAAACTTGAAAAATAAAACATAAGAGGCTACAAAATGTTTTCAAAATAATAGGTTCAACTCCATATACAAATACAATTCATGTCCTAGAAATCCACTGCCCCGATGTCACAATATCAGAGCATACCCATAAATCAACTATTGGCATTCTAGATGTCACTCATAGCCGGATCTTCCTCACCTAAAATATCCACAAATCGTACGGTGAGAAAAGAAAATATCTATATATAGCACATAAGAAAACACAACATATTATCTCATTATAACTTAATATTCATAAATATTTCAACATATCGTATTTCAATTAATCATGCATCGTCATCACGTCATAATTCTCCATCACACCAATCATCACAAATCTTGCACTTCACACTATGTCAATGTCACGCTACCCATTTAACAATCTAAGGTCGTGCTCACCCCTGATATAACACTGTGTCAAGATCACGATTCTCTTGTAGCATATCTAGCCCAAAGTCGTGCTCACCCCCGACATGTTATTAAAGGTCACGATATCCACGTAACAATCCAAGGCCATGCTCACCCCTGATATAACACTGTGCCAAGGTCACGTTACCCCTAACCCATGGCCGTGCTCACCCCTGACATGTTAACCAAGGTAACGATACCCATGTAACAATCTCGGGCCATGCTCATCCCTGACATAACACTGTGTCAAGGTCACGTTACCCCTAACCTAGGATCGTGCTCACCCCTGACATGTTAACAAAGGTCACGATACCCATGTAACAATCCCGGGTCGTGCTCACCCCTAGTCATAGGTGTGAAGAACCACAACCACATCTCATTCACATTCCACACAACATCTTATAGTTCAATTCCATACACACATAAGATAAGTCCAAAATAATGGGTTTCATACACCTCAAGCAATTCACATCTAAATCATCAATTTTTATCAAGTAATATAACAATAACATTCATAAATTAATATAATACTCAACCGAATCACCAATTTAATACAATATTAAATCAAATAGTAAAACTTCCAATTTTTCAAAACCTAACTCACAAGAACTTTTCTATAATTTCGTTCTCCCTCCCAAATCATCATTTTCACAAATTAAATGATGGAATCATGCCTAGGAAGGCAAGGGGTGACACACTAAAGGAGCCAAGAGAAATGGGCTAGGCATGAAGGTTTGGGCCAGTCAAGGCCCAATGGGCCCGATGGGCCTAGAAGGCCCAATTTGAGATCCACATGGGCCATCTCTTGATAAATCCATTTTTCTTATATTTTGTACATATTCTATTAGTATAGGTTTCACATATTTTGGTCTTGTATTTTGGACCACATAGAGTAGCATTTTTGGTCCATAGGCTTATTGGGCCTAGTTTTGGGCTTCATGGGCCTTTGGGCTTTTGGTACCCAATATTGGGCTCATTTTGTTTCTTTTATTATTTCCTAATGTTTGTATATGTTTGGCCATTGTATTTAGGCCATTAGCATAGGAATATTGAAGGAATACTAAAATAGACCAAGAAGCTAAAATCTAGGTTTCATTTAGTAGTCATTTGAGATGCATTTGGATTACATGTTTCTTGCCAAGCATGGCTGAACATGTGCAGCTCCAAATACACTTTAAATGTCCCCTAAATGACATTTAGATGCATGGCAGCCCCATATTCACGGACTAAGCACATGGAGTCTTAAATTTGAATTCAAATTTTCATTTTCATTTGAATTTTTGGCTCCAATATTGGCTAGTGAAGTTGGCGCCACCTAGCTTGCTTCTAGGATCTATAAGTGCTTGTTCCTTCACTCTTTGTAAACACTTTTGAACATTTGAGAAATAAATATTCAGATTTCTCTCCCAAAAGTCTCTCCTAAAAACCGTAGAGAATTCTCTCTTAGGTTTCTACCAAAGGTGCTTCAACCTTTACTTAGTTCCTCAAGCTTCTACCTCAAGCTAAGGAGTAACCGAATCCCTTCCTTGCTTCAACCTCCATTGAAGGTTCCTTCATGGAGATTCAAGCCTTATTTTGACGGTTGCCTCAAGAGTATTTCGGTCCTTGCATGGAAATCTTGGAAGAACATTCATCTTCTCCAAGTGCTTCCATCATTTTTGGTATCAAGAGCAAGGTTCTTCTTGGAGATAAGTGTTCTTAATTTTTTTGGTCCGTTTGATATTGTGTCCTTGTGTTCTTGTTTGTCTCTTTTGTGAGTTTCTTTCGG